CTTGCTTGTTGCAAGAATATTGCTATTTATTTAATAAATATATATAATTTTATTATTACTTTTGTTAATTTTTTTAAAATAGAAAATACATAATCAGAAACAGTTGGTTACGCCTATTCTGAAGCAAGGATTTATTTATTTTTATGATTTATTTTATATTTGATTTTATATTTAAAAATTATTTATTTTAATTAATTATTTTATTTTAATTATGTATTTTAAAAAAAAATTCAAAATTATACATTTAAATTAAATTTTATTTTTTAAAAAAAATTATGTTATGATATTTAAAACATTATTATTTAAAAATAAATTATATAAGAATTTCTTTTTTGATTCAATTTTTAAAAATTATAAAAAATTATGTAAAATTTAAAATTGTATTTGCTATATATCTTAAAATAAAATTCTTGAACAAAAAATGGTTTAAATTTAAAATTTACTTTTTTATATAAATAACTATTAGAATTTAAAATTTAAGGTGAAATTAAATATGAAAAAAAAAAATTTTTTAATTTTTTATTGATCTTTTAAATTCATGTAAAAGAATTTGTCAACAATTAATTGGTTAAAAAATTTGGGGTCAAAATTAATTTTATATGTTATCTGAAGTTGGAATTCAGATAGCATAAAAAGTATTTGAAATTGGAATTCCAATTTCAGTTAATCTTCGGATCTCAATTTCAGATGCCCAAAAAGTATCTGAATTCCAATTTCAGACGAAAATCAATTTCAATCACAACATTGTAACTGAAATTTTGGTAGAATCGATTCCAATATAAGGTCATTGAAGTTTCTGAGAAAAGTATTTTGGCACACCCTTCTGTCCTTATTAGCATTACTTTAAAATGAAAATTTCTCTAATGATCAAGGTGCATGTAAATTTTCAAACAACTTCCTATTGAATTCTTAAAATACATCTTTAACAATTCCTTTTGGTTATACTATCCGCTAGGACAAGTTTTGGAAGATTAACAAATATCATAACTTTCAAGGGATTGGATAACATAATATATTATAGCCAAATATAAATAAATACACTTAATCTTCCAAAATTTCTAGATAAAACAAATATTGAAACTTTCAAAAGAAATGTTTGTTTAAATTATTTTATTCTGGCACCATTTTTGTGACTAATATTTATATGCCTTCTAATTTCTTCTTTTTACATTTCATTATCATTTAAGAATAAAAGAAAAGTAAAATCAATGAAATTTGTCTTGTTCGACAAAAATATGTTTTGGAATCAATTCATTCAACATAGTAAAATGAATTGAATCGAATCGAATCTTTTTTATTTTTTACATATTAATCGATCTAACTCCAAAGCATTTTTCAATATTGATCATTTTGCTAAAATTAGAACTGGTATGAAGCCAGGTTGAACGTCAATGAAAAAAATTTTGGTTTCCTTTTCATTGGGAAGATTTTTTTTTTGTCCAATAAAATTGTCGATTGTGACGTTTTTTGATCTAATGTGGAAGTAATTTATTAAATTTAACTTTTCAATTATAAACGATCTATAGCATTAATATAAAATCGATCATTAAAATAAAAAATTGTATATCTCAAATTTTTTACTATTTAAATCAAGATTAAGTAAAAATAATGTTTAGGGTAAACCTTTATATTAATAGACGTAATTTATTGAATTGATAAAAAAATATATCGGTTTAATTTTTAATTATATTGGCAGCTAAAACATACTAGTAAAATTTGGAAATTTGATAGATATATGTAGAAAATCAAAAAAAATATTATTAATGTAATTATTTTTTCTCATCTTTGGTTTCATCATATTCTAATTCGTCTGGTGATTTTGCAATGAATCTCAACAACCCACCATAAACACCGATAAAAGAAAAAAGGTCATTGCCGCATAATACTGCTACAGTTAGCGGAAGTTTATCAATATCACCTACAAATGTTTTAGGTGATACTAGACAAATGCAGTGTGACCAATTGCCTTCTTGATTTCATTTAGGACAACTTCCATATTGATTTGACAAACAGCGCTGGCTGATAGCTGATGCCTTGATGAAAGCGCTGCAACATACTTATACTGTTCATCTGCATGAGGAAAGATGGCATCGGCCGTCTTAGATCATTTTGCAATACAAATAATGAATTTACCACTGGTGGAATCAATAATCATTTCTTTGTACTTTTCACCTTCTGCAATAACTGCTATCTTCTTACGATCCGATATTTGTGGCTTTTCAAATTCGGAATATTTACCGGGACATTTCGGACGTACTAGCGATGTAAAAAAAAGTCGGACGTCCTCGTGAATTGTGATACCTTTATTCAAAAGCTGTTGTGACCCACGAACAAAGTTTCCATATATTTCCCTAAACTGGACAGTTGTATAACCTGCCTGCCGCAGCAAATAGTATTCTGAGTAATGTTTAGCCATGATAAAATCTGGAAAAGAATCTTCATCCAATCGGCACAAGAGGTTTAACAAAATTTCTAAGAAGCGAAGTTTATATATTGAAGCAATAGTATTTATAAAGATCAGAAGAAAACATGCAGTTAATTCATCATCATCATCAACCTTCAAAAATATAATGCCTCTATGTTCATAAGTTCCAACTGTAGTACTATAGATTATAGTATTATGTGTCACCTTCTACTGAAAATGAACGTAAGTCAACCATTTCAATAGGTTTTTTTCCCCTAAAAAGCACTTCTCCCAAACAGCTTTATGATATTTTGTTGTAGTCCAATTCACCAGATCTTTCATAATTCTTTAATATTTTCGATTGCATCAAGTTCTTCCAGAAAAAATCTTCCCAAGAAGTACCTAAGTTGAATCAGACAAATGGCAATGCCACCACAAGCATCAATTAATACAGACACAAGTGTATTGGTATTCTCTTTCACCTCTATATACATCATATTACAACCTTTTATTGATGCATGATAATGTGCGGAACTTGCAACAAGTTCGCAAGAAATCTTTTTTCCTAATGGAGATAGAAAATGATGTCTTAAAGAATACATTGTAGCAGAACAGTTAGAAACTTCCATATTCTCAATCGATATTGGTGATGTACCAGTCATGAATGGAATTAAAACGGTGCTTTCATTTGTGAAATTACCTTCCGCGATATATTCCGTTAAATAGCGAAGCATGGCAACCATGAGCTTGGGATCAAGCTGGAACTCATCAACTTGAATGAAGATAATCAAGTGTGATCTGTCATCAATAGCACTGAGATCTCTTCGGATAAGTTTGATCACAGTTGTGAGATCACTAAAAGACTGGTCAATTTTAAGCATCTTTTTTTGCGTCATATTTCCCCATCGTTCATTAAAATAGTAAGTCGCTATTTCAAGCGCTAAAACCCTTCCTGCAGTTATATTTTCTTCTGAATGATTCAAGTATTTACTTTTGTGAAAGAATTTGTAAGTTGTATCAATCAAATTCTCGACCTCTTCCTGTTCTTCATCACTGTACAGATCAATTTCTTGCAATTGCTTTCCTTTTGCATCATGGTAGAACACATTTTCCGTATTCGCTTGCGAGGGCAAATTTAACGGAGAACATAATTGTCGAAGAAAAACATGACGTATCGGGGAGGGGGGACAAAAATATTGCACAGCTTAAAAATAAAAATTTAAATAAATTTTTTATAAGTTATTAGCCATGTGATTTTTATACCGAATAGGTTAGCAGTTGCTTTAAAGGGTTATTTGTTTATTGTTTTGATTAAATGTG